AGTTATATACTAAGTTCTATTATAACTCTATGGCTATATATAATATGATAGGATAGATACAGTAGTATATTATAGAGTTATATACTAAGTTCTATTATAACTCTTTGGTTATATATAATATGATAGGATAAATACAATGATATATTATAGAGTTATATACTAAGTTCTATTATAACTCTATGGCTATATATGATAGGATAGATACAGTAGTATATTATAGAGTTATATACTAACTTCTATTATAACTCTATGGCTATATATCATAGGATAAATACAATGGTATATTATAGAGTTATATACTAAGTTCTATTATAACTCTATGGCTATATATGATATGATAGGATAAATACAATGATATATTATAGAGTTATATACTAAGTTCTATTATAAGTCTATGGCTATATATGATAGGATAAATACAATGGTATATTATAGAGTTATATACTAAGTTCTTTTATAACTCTATGGTTGTATATCATAGGATAAATACAATGGTATATTATAGAGTTATATACTAAGTTCTATTATAACTCTATGGCTATATATGATATGATAGGATAAATACAATGGTATATTATAGAGTTATATACTAAGTTCTATTATAACTCTATGGCTATATATCATAGGATAAATACAATGGTATATTATAGAGTTATATACTAAGTTCTATTATAACTCTATGGTTGTATATCATAGGATAAATACAATGGTATATTATAGAGTTATATACCAAGTTCTATTATAACTCTATGGCTATATATAATATGATAGGATAAATACAATGGTATATTATAGAGTTATATACTAAGTTCTATTATAACTCTATGGCTATATATAATATGATAGGATAAATACAATGATATATTATAGAGTTATATACTAAGTTCTATTATAACTCTATGGCTATATATAATATGATAGGATAAATACAATGGTATATTATAGAGTTATATACTAAGTTCTATTATAACTCTATGGCTATATATAATATGATAGGATAAATACAATGGTATATTATAGAGTTATATACTAAGTTCTATTATAACTCTATGGCTATATATAATATGATAGGATAAATACAATGATATATTATAGAGTTATATACTAAGTTCTATTATAACTCTATGGCTATATATAATATGATAGGATAAATACAATGGTATATTATAGAGTTATATACCAAGTTCTATTATAACTCTATGGCTATATATAATATGATAAGATAAATACAATGGTATATTATAGAGTTATATACTAAG